TGAAGGAGATGGAAGGACATCTCACAGCAGCTAAAGCCACGTTCTGCCAACAGGACAATCCCCTGCCCATACCCCTCCTTTGGGATGAGACTGCAGGTTCCCAGCTTCAGCTGCACAGTCTGTATCGCGTGGACAACATGGAATCAGCTCCCAGGGCCAGCTGGGAAGCTGCTAGCACATGATTTTGCTCAGCCAGAGCTCAGTCCCACCTGTGCTGACCTCTGCTCAGCACAGGGGAGACACATCCAGAGTTCTGTGTCCTGCTTTGGGATCCTCAGCAGAGGGAAGATATGGCAGAGTGAATCCAGTGAAGGGACACTGAAATGATGAAGGGATTGGGGTGTCTGACATCCGAGGAGAGGATGAGGGAACTGAGACCATCATTCAGCCTGGAGAAAAGGAGGCTCAGGCCACAAATGGGATGGAAAGGAGTAAAGGAGACCTAGCCAGACTCTCCTTGGTGGTGCCAGTGTAAGGAGATAGGCCATGGCACAAACTGGACACACAGGAAATTCCTCTTAAACCTAAGCAATTTATTTTACCTTTTTTTTACTGAGAGGGCAACCAGACACACAAACAGGTTGTCCAGAGAGTTTGTGGAGCCCCCAGCCTTGGAGATATTCAAATCCTGACTGGAAAAGTTCCTGAGCAGCCTGCTCAGCTTTTTTTTTGGCTGGGCTGGATATGTCCCTTCCAACAGCAGCAATCCTGTGATTCTTGGGAGGTGGCTTTGACTTCACAACTATTGAATTTGGGCTTGGCAAAGATCTGATCAAACTTTCATTTCTTTTGCTCTACTCCACTCACCATGGTCTTGCTCGTTCGTCTCTCCCCCACCATCACCTCAGTGCAAATACCTTGGACTTTCCTAGCTAAGCTGCTGGTAAATTATCATGTCTCCTCCTGAGGACTGAAGTGCTGAAATGCTGCTTATTAAATCACTGTCAAGGAGCTCCAAAAAGGGCAGTTGCATAAAGCCTCATTATCTGTGATCTACAGCAGGTCAGGCTGCAGCATTTCATTGTTCCCTCTGGTCTAAATCTTTCAGACTGAGTGAGGAAACAGAGAAAAGATGTAAACCAACAAATCTTGGAAGCAGGACAGACCTATGGCCAGGTTCCTGTGGCTCAACTGGACATAATTCTCTCAGCAAAGACAAAACACCATTCCAGGGCCACCTCCTGCCCCACTCTGAAATGTCAAACATTGGCAGGTGATCAAACTCAAAGACAATTACAGCTAAGTTTGCCTAAAGAACTGCTCAAAAAGGCTCCTGCTCCTTCGCTGCTCCTTAAAGCATCCCCACTGAAATATGTGTCAAGCACACAGCTGGTGTGTCCCTCCAGAAGGCCCAGCAGGGGCTGTAAAATGGGTTTATTGTGTCTACGCTTTGAAACCTTTCCACTGATGCCATGATTCAAGACCTGTGACTGTAAACAGCAGGACTTTCTGTGCAGTCAGCAGCACTTTGCTCAGGTCTCAGCTGAGGAGCTGGTAAGGCAGTTTCCTAGATGCCAGTTGTAATGCACAGCCCAGGGAATACACAAGGACACATTCCTGTTCCAGCTGGAAGCTTGTCCAAGGTCCCTAGGGCACATCACCCCTTGACAGCCAACCCAAAGGGTCTGTGTGGTAGTAAATGCAGCTGTTGTGAGTACACACTGATATTTCAGATGTGTCTGAAAACAGGAAATTCCATCTGACTCCATCCCATGAAAGCTCTGTCATCAGGAAAATGCCAACAGAAACTCCCTCTCCTCCAAGGCCATGTTCCAGCCATCATTAGAGCTGTTCAGGGGACTCACATTGTGTTTGTGGCAGAAGTTCACAGCCTGGAGGGTCTGCCAGGTTATGCTCTTCACCAGGTACTCTGGCAGCCTGCTGGAAAAAACACAGTTTTATTTTGGGCAATAAAAATAACTTCACCACTATGGGAAAAAAGAAGAGGAGGTCTTTGAGTGCTGACATTGGACAGGGATCTCTGAGCAAAACCATCAGGGACCAAGGCAGAAAACACTTCCAAGTCCAGACAGTGGCAACAGGGCACAAAGGATTTATGGCAGCTAAGAGTGTGACAGAGTGCCTGGAACCACTGCCACAGCCACCACGAGGGCTGCCAAGTGGTGCCACACAGCAGTGTGTGTGAGCCCCTGTCAGATCCGATCCTGTGGCTGTGCCTAG